TGGTTATACCTTGAGTAGGCCTGTGGGGGAGGGAAGAGAGGTGTGTGTGTGTGTGTGTGTGTGTGTGTGTGTGTGTGTGTGTGTGTGTATTCATAAACAGATACATACATACACATGAGCTAGTCTCCAGTACCTGCTTACATCAATGTTTACTCCCAGTCCAGCCCCATATATTCATCTCTCTGCCCTGTGCTAGCTCCTATCACATGCCACAGCTAGGTCAGGATCACTGTACCTACAGGAAAAGCTCAGGCTGTTTGCTGACCTCTCCTGACCTAGAGTAGGACTCTAAGGCAATCATAAGCTTTCCCCAACAGCAGAAGTTTTAAGACCACAGTCCTGGATTAATAAGCCACTTCAGACTTGCTGAGCAGCCAAACCACACATAAGAAAACCTCAACTATAAGCCTTCCTGCAGGAAACAAAAACTGTAAAAAAAAAAAAAAAAACCCACTTATTCCCACCAGGTTTGGGGACTCTCAAAAGGTAACAGAGCAAATGTTACACAGTCCCACCCCCCCAGTTTTCCATTCCAGTAGAAGGGAAAGAGTACCCAACTTTTATGAGACACTTGGGAAGGGAAAGTTGCACCTGTCATCATTAACTAGGGGCAAGAATCAGCTGCCTTTTATACAGAGCATTTTGCTAGTCTTTCATTTCTAATGAGACAAAGGAGATGGGGGAAAAGAGAAGGGAACACAGAAAAGCTAAAAACAGAGGCTCACAAACAATGACAAGGTGAAAGAACAAATCTGAGAGCTCACGCACAGCCAGCTAGAGCCTCAGTGGGTGAGAGCCCTGGGTCACACCCTCTCTGCTAGCTTCTGAGGATGCTCTGTGGTATGTGGCCCAGTTGGACTCGGGGAGAAGAATGGTTCCTTTATTCTGGTACTTGATATAGTTCTTGATCCATCGGAGACACCAGACAGTACTTTCTGGGTGCACAGGTGGTTGGACAGATGACAGATAGACATGGCGACAAATGGGACACACACACATCCAGGGAAGAGCAAACTGGCAGTGGGTAGCTGGTCTCCCTACACACACACACACACAATCAAACATGACCTGGAGAGGGATGAGAACAGGAAGACACAAACTGTGGACTTTTAGCTGCTAAAACTTGAAAATGACACCCCGCCCAAAATAGTCCTGCCTAAGGCTCAGATTCCCTGGTCTGACACAGGAATCCCTTCTGCCACCAGCTCAACCTCAGTTTCAGTCATTTCTGGTCCCACACATCACAACGCTAAGATATTCCCCACCTGTCCCTCGGTATCCATTCAGTTAGTACCAGACCATACCTCTGGACCTAACCTTGTTACTGCTGAGTCCAGGAAGCCTCCTGGACACTGTGACTAGACGTCTCCCTGGCCATAAGTTACTGCTCCATCCTTCCACCGCTATGGATAACAGGGTCTGTTCACACCTCCATCTTCCCTGATCAAGCTGGAAGCCCCATGGAAACAAGAACCAAGTCAAGGTGCTGGGGCTCATTAAATCTGGAAACATGCCAGATGGAACTGTGTAAAAAGACAACTCCAGAAGCTCTTGGTGAACAGGACCAGATTCCCCAGAGCAAGGCCCCAGTCTTAATCCTTCTCAGCAGTCCTGACTTCATTATTTGAGTTCTCAAGGCTCTGGAGTAAGGTAGAAAGGCCTACATCCACCTCCACATCTGGTGAGACAGCTGACAGGTCTGAGTGAAGATAACATCACAGACAAACTCACAGCCCACTAAAGCTATTCACCAGCCAATACCAAAGCCTAACTGGAAAGACAGTGAGCCCATCCCCAGGTAAGGAAGGAGTCACCCTCCCTCCCTCCAAGGGCAAGAGCAGAGAACAGCATGTCTTGCTGGAAGAACAAATTGTTCAACAAGCCCCAAGGACCTCTGTGTGGTGATCACAGGTCTGGGACCACAATACCAGAATGCTATCCCTCCCAGCTCAGCAGCTCCAGGTAACAGTGAGGGGGCTGGTGATGACTCGCCTACAAGCTAAGCTGCTCCATGGGTACTTTTCACTGTCTTTACTTCGCTGTTGTTTGTTTTGTATTGTGGTGTCAGGTGGGACCCAGGTCTTTGCATATGCTAGCCAACTGTTCTACACTGAGCCATAAACTTAGCCCTCTCACTCCCTTTTAGAAACACTGTGTTAGCATCATGGAGAGAATGTGGAATCAAGACTATGTCGGTGGACAGCAGTGGGTCCAGGAGGCCACAGGGACTGGGCAGGCACCAAGACCTCAGTCTCCTACAACCCACGCTATCACAAATCACCAAGACCAGAGTTTGGAAATATAGTAGCCCCAGGCAATGGCAGTGAACTGGTTCACTAGAGTTGCTACTCAGAGAAGTGGCTTCCGACATGGTTCACTGACGGCCTAGCAAGTCACAGAGGGCAAGGCTTGTTACTAACAACAGTGAAAGTGTCAACCAGCTGACTGTTCATCCACTCATATTCAGCCATGCTTTCTGGGAAGGCCATACAACCTACACAGGCTACAGCTCCTCTATGCCCTTGCAGTCAACTATCACTGTGGTGGAAGGGTGGGAGGCCATTCACTTCTCTATACAATGTTTGGGACATCATAAAATTCAGAAAGGGGGTCACCCTGGTGACAAGCATCCATTCTGTCCTAACAAAGAGGAAACCAGGCCAGTCTGCCTAAGGAGTCCAACCAATGTCCCCAGGCAATGACACACCACTGTGCAGGATGGAGCTCGCCATCTTGTAGGGGACTTGCAGGACTAGATAGCTAGACAGAGGTGTCCTCCAGCTCCCAGATCCTTTTCCCATCTATGCCTAGTAGATGCCCTAAAACTCTTAGAGTGAGGCCTGGAAACAACCCAGAAGCATATCTTCCTCTGCAAAGCTGGCCCAGCCACATGCAGCCATGACAGAAAGTGTAGCACATTGTGTCCTGTGAAGTCACCAACCATGGAGGAGAGGGCTCTGAGACAGGCCAAAACTACACAGGAATTCCATTCTGTCTCTTAGTAACAATGGCTTTATACAAATCAAGTAACATCCATTAAAATCACAACTACAAAGTACGCTAATGAGGAAATGGACACAAAGAACCAGGCCCATTCTGGGCATCAGGAAAGGATGGCTTCCTCTATCTACTTACTTCTGGTGGCATGGCAGGGAACCAGAGATGGTATATCCTCTAATAAGAATTCAGAAGTGTCCTCACACTCAGTCTCCTGTCACCACTAAGTATGAGTTGCTTGACAAAGGAAGGAACCACTCCAGTTGTATCTACGCCCCCCAAATACCCAGAGACACAAAGATTTTGTGAACACAGTCTAAAGGATTAGAAAAGGCAGCCAGCTAAAGCCAAGCAAAGTGCACCCTGCACCACAGGAGTTTGCATAATTAATCACTTGGAAATAACATATTTAGGCCAGTTGTGGTTGCATGTAAATCCTTCAGGAGCCTAGAAACAAGAAAGGCCTAGATTCACGTAGATGGAAAATACATGTGTACACAGCTAAAGGGGGCAGATGCTAAGGAGCTTGGTGTCAAACGTTTATCATCACTGACTCCCTCTTTACCACTATCTTAGCAGATGCAGAAACTGAGTCTACAAAGATAAAGCAAATTGATAGATCAGCACCTCACAGACAGGAAATGGGGCAGAGCCTGAACCAGAATCTGTTAACTGTAAGGCCCATTTTCTTTCTGCTTCCAAGCTTCCCAGCAGACCAATGGCAAAGAGGGAAGGAAACAAACAGGAAAACCAAGGAATTAGCACAAAGTGAGAAGCCAGGAGGCTGGTGACAGAATCACCAGTGGACACTCTCCCCAGGCACATGGGTAAACAGAGAGAAAAGTCAGCCTGTGAGCAGCCTTCAGCAAATACACTACTGGGAATGTTCTGAGAAAGGCTGGATATGTCAGCTCTGCTCACCCACGGCTGAATCACTGCACACAGGGAAGAGTGTTCTGAGAACCCACAGGATGGCACAGCCTGGCTGACCACCAGCACGGTCCCAGCCTGATTAGCTGAGAGCATTGGGGCTGCTGGCCAACTACACCAAATTAAGCGTTCCCAATGTTACACTCTCCAGCAGTGGGCTTCGTGCTGGTTCCTGATGCATGAGGTAGCATTTTGAATGATAATTAATTAGAGGGGAAAAGCAGAATAAGCAAGCACAGTACATCAGATGAAATTAGTATAATTCCGCCGTTCTTTTTCATTTTACCTTCAGAGTAGGCCGCCAAGGTGGCTTGGATTATGAGGAAAACCCCAGGGAGGATGCTTTCCCAGCCACACCACACCCCTTGCTACCTCTTCTCCCCAAACCAACTCAGGCCCAGGGAGTGACCAGCATCTACCCATTTATCACTTCTGAGCCATGAAACCACTGGAGTCAGTCAGCTCTCCTAGTTCAGTTTTCTAGTCTGATCTCAAATCAATGGATTCTTTGTAAACTTGGTGGCCATGCCTTGTCTTTCTCCAGAAGGCCTGATGATCCCTAATAGAGGTGTTTTTAAAAGGAGCACACACTGATCAGGACAAGCACCAAAGAAAGACACTTCGTTCACTCCAGGGATCACTTGATATGCAACAGACACCTCCACCAAATGTCAACAAATCCCACAGCAACCTTCTCACATCTCCAGAGAGCTAGAAATGTGCTTTATCCCTATAGATATATGCATGCTAACAAAGAAAAGAAAATTAAAAGGAAAAACATCTGGGTTTCAACTCAGAAAATTCAGGCAGTGGGAGGGAGGAAGGGAGGGAAGGAGAGGGAACTAGGATCGATATGTAAAATGAAAATAAAAAGATAATAAAAAAATAAAATTCAGGCAGTAAATTATAAGCAGGCTTCCCACCAGCCCTGGAGACTAATCAGTAGCCAAGTCATGTTGAGGCCTCTTCCTATATGGTCAGATGCTGTGGATGAACACGCATGTGTTTCCTCTTCTGTTTCTGTTATATACCTGAGACATTCAGTGGCCCCTGGGCATCAGGCATGAGTGGCCTCAGCTCCCATGACCTACCTCATTGATGAAGGAGTGAGCCCCTTGTGGGCTAAGCAGTAGAATGGCACGGCGCAGCGTGTCCCTGTAGCGGTTCAGCTCCTCTGTCTTCATGGTGGTGAAGAGACTGGTGAACACGTGACTGATATTCTTGTCCACCTTTTGTAAAGAGACGTCAAGGCCCAGCCTTGAGGCCTGATCCAGAAAGCTTTGGAGCCCACGAATATCTGAGCATGGGAGAAGAGGAGGGAAGAATCATCTTTAAGTGGAAAGGGAGGGCAACCAACCCCAACATTCCCAACCCAGGCAGCCACCAACAGAAATAGAGGTCTGGTCTACTTCACTCATTTAGAGCAGGCTGCAAGGCAGCAACTAATACCCTGCATCCCTCATCAGCATCTAGCCCAGGGTATAGGATGGTGGTCTTCTGGCACTGAGAATCCATTCTGCCATCCAAAAGGTACTATGCCAAAATCCAAACTTTCTAATCCTTTTCTTCTCTCCTGTGGGGTCTCAGTTCTGGCAATTCTGTCCTCCAGGTTACATGGCTAGGGACCCTGCCCCAGGTTCTCCCCAATGCCCTCTGTACCTCCCATCTGAGGCCTTTTGACCCTCTAGAGACAGATGAGACTACTGACAACCTTGAAGAGAGCTGACCAGCCTTGGGATAGGCCATTCTAACTCTGGGTCATGCTCTAACCCTCCGAATGTCAACATCTCATGTGACAACCCCTAGCCAATGCAAGGAGCCTTGTTTAAATTAAGGTCCTGATTTTTCTTTCTAGAACTTCCTTCCTCCTGCTTTATACTAAGGAGTGACTCATTCCAAATCCAATCATAAACTTGTGTTCCAACTGATTTGGAAATGAATTGGTAGCCAAAGCCCTTCACTGAGAATTTCTCCCAGCACTAGGAAGGAACAACTACAAGATAAATCAACTGAACCAGCACCTGAGGGTAGGTACCCAAAGTGGACCCTGGAGCCCAGAAAGATGGCACACTCTCCCTGACCTACCCTTGTGAGGGGCTGTCTGGGCGCTGTTTTGTTTGTTAAGTAATGAACTTGCAGCAACAGCTCTGCACAAGCCATTCAACTTCCCCACAGGGACAACTATGCAAGAATGGAAAAAATATAGAAGCAAGCGAGTATAAGCCAATGGTGACACAGCTATTCTGATGCCATTCAAGCCTTGAGGTCCATCTATGTCTGACACTGTCCCTTGGACTTCCCAGGAGTTCCCTTTGCTGCTAAGCCACTTCATGCTTCATTTCTGTCACTTGTAGCCTAATTGTCCACAAAGGAAAGTCATCTGCGCCCACCCTAGAATGTTGCCATCATCTATCTGTATTGACTGGCTTTGTGTGTCAACTTGACTGACACAAGCTAGAATCATCAGATAGGAAGGAGCCCCAGTTGAGGAAATCCCTCCTGGTTGTAGGCATTTTCTCAATTAGTGATCAGTGGAGGAGGGTCCAGCAGCTCCTGCCTCAGGATCCTGCCCTGTTTGACTTCCTGTCCTGACTTCCTTCAGTGATGAATAGAAATGTTGAAGTGTAAGTCAAATAAATCCATTCTTTCCCATCTCACTTTTTGGCCATGGTGTTTCATTGCAGCAATAGAAACCTTAACTAAGACACCACCTTATCCTTACATTACTGATCCCAGGGGCAGACCCTCCAGAGGATCCTGAGTTCCTCCTCTAGTCCCCATGCCCTGGGGTCACTGAAACTCCAAGTCAAAATAAATAATGCTAACTAAACAGGTTTTATCTACTGGTATTTCTCTGAAATTGCCTCCTCTTGTCTGTCACACAAACAGTTCTATGTAAGCAGGTGTCAAGGATGCTGCACACAGTCCCTAAACTTCCCATCTTGATAGGAAGACAGACTCTCAGCTTCACTGGAGCAGGATGAGTACAGGGATACCACAGGGGGATGCCCAAGAGTAGGACCTGCTGTAACTCTTAAGAGATCCTTAAACTCTCAGGCAAAGCATTCCTCCCTTCTACTCTTCAACTCGCTCATCTATAAAACGAGCGCTCTGAGAGACATGATTCTTATGAGATGGCCTTCTTGGGTCCAAGAAGCTGGTACCTGGTAGTCCAGAAAGCCAGGTTCTTAACAGTCCAAAGAATAGCACTATAGTACCCAGAGGATGATGCTGTGGGCCACTTCAGAGATGGGCAAAGCAGACTGATATTTAACCCTGCAGCCACCTGTGTTCTAGTCCAGCTAGGACTTTGGTCTGTCCTTTGGCAGATATGATACAAGTTAGGACTTGGGCCCCTGAGTCAGAAGCAAAGACCTACCAGGAGGGCCTCTTCACTAAGCTCCTGAGTACAGACAATACAACCAGCAGATAACCCACCAAGAAAGGAAGGGGGGAGGGAGGGAAAGAGGGAGAAAGGAAGGATACAAGTATAGGAAGTATAGTTCCAATTCTTAACCCTAATGGAAAAAGTAGTGAGCAGTTTGCAGAAATACAGGAGTCTGGAGAGATGATCAACTACCACAAACAGTACAGGTGTCAACATTCTTCTGAATATAGCTCTGCCCATCATAACCCTGAGAATGTCTCAGCACTCAGCAGCCAATGTAGTATACACAATGTCCCCAAGTGTAATGGCTGCCTTTTGGCCCCTGGAAATGATCTTTCTAGTCCCATGTCATTTCCTCATCACTTTGAAAATCCATCTGTCTTTGTTTCTGGCCTTGGCCATACAAACAGCTTTGACATATAGGACAGAAGTAAACTTAACAGAAACAGTATTATGAGTGGTTCTATGTTTCAGTTTCTACCCTTGGGCTTGGCTATATAAATGCCTTCAGGGTAGCCTGCTGACAAGATGCTGTGACACACAGAGAAGAATTAGGATGGCCCCCAAGCAACTACTACAGTGGACCCAAACATAATTGAGGACAAAGCAGGACAATCAGGTTGAACTATAGACTCATCAAAAATAATAGATGATTCTTGTCCTAAACCACTAAGTTTTGAGATGGATTGATTGACGGCCAGGACTAACTGAAAGGTCAAGGTCACTGGATAGATTCTGTATGGTACTCCTCATGAAGATATAAAGATCATTTGTGCATTGTTCACAGGGGATGACAGCCAGTCTCAAGCTAGGCTATGTGTCCTCAGGCAGCTTTTCCAGGATTCCAACAATCCTCAGTGTCCCATGGCCTTCCTTACCTATGACCCAGATATGATTACAACTGACAAGCATCAAAGACCCTGGGACCCTGCTACCATCTTCTGCTCCCCTGGATACCTTTTAAGAGACCTGATAAAGTGGCAGAGAGTGACCACACGCACAGAATGTTTCTGCATGTTCACATGGCATGCATATCAGTAAAGCTCACGTGCACATGGTCTTGTAGGTCTGGTAGGGCCACTGTGTGACATGAATGATCTCCTGAATCATGACAGCACAACCTGCAATCTCAACCTGGGGGAGAAGCCCCCTACAGTCCCTTTCCTGAGGCCCCTTCTCACTCTATGGCACTAGTTCATACCCTTATGGAGAAGATACATGAGGCACGTGTCAGGATCCAGGAAAGAACATGTGAAAAACAAAAGCCCCCAGAACACTTGCATGCTCTTGATACTGCATTTCTGCCTTCTGTTCAGGCATCCTCCAATGTGACTGAGCCATCAGGGAGAGTTTAAGTTTGTTAGCAGCAGCAGGCTCTTCACTCCTGGCATTAGTGATACTGCTGAAGGCGGTTTTCCCAAGAGACATGATCCCTAGCTACAACGGGCGGCTCCCACTTGGCTGAAAAGGTCAGCCTCAGCCTCTTTTTCAGCTGCACTAGGGGAGGGTTGGAGCAGAGTACCAGTGGGAGCACAAGCTGACTTTACCCTCTTCCTACCTGCTCCCCAAGAAAACCACCTGTCCAACCAAAGTCATTTTCTCCTCGCAAGGGAGTCTGCGGTGCCACACTACTCCACTCTGCAGAAAGCCTGCTGTCCATTCTGCCACTTCTCAGGAAGGTAGAATTCTCCCAAGAGGGAAGAAGAAGGAAAGGAGAGTGCTGCCATGCAGTCCGCCCTGAATACAGACTCCTCCAACCAGACCCACTGCTGACTCCAAGAACCGGAACCCTCTATGGTCACATCTGGCCTATCTGGAACCTATGCAGAAAGAACCCCTGGTTTTCCAAAGGGTCAAGAACTGCAATAAACAGGAAGAAGGTGCCAGTACTCCACAGGGACAATGAAAGAGTCTCACCTTCAGGGGAAGCAGGCTAGAAGGTGGACAAGTGCATCCTATGAATGCCATGACATGACAGGACAGGCCTCCCTCCATGCCTTCTCCAGATTTGCTGCCCTGGTCATCAGAAATCTTTCCAATCCCCAGCCTAACAGAGTGAATCCTCCTGACAATGCTTTCCCATGCCCTCCTTCCTCAGACAGCCACTGAGAGGCTTCTCTGTGTGGAATTTCCCCCGGGTTCTAGGTAATAAAATGGAATGTGCCTACAGTGTTCCTGCTGTCATCATTTGTATTTAGGGGGCTGAAAACAAACCTAGAACAAATAAATAATGGAATAGATAAGTTTCCATACTAATGAGCTTTCAAGAAAAATCCATGTTGGGATGAAGCAGATTTTGGGGGTGGGAAGAGGAAAGTCCCATGGGAGAAAGCAGCAGTGAGGAGGTGGTAGCTCCAGAAGCCACTCAGAGAAACCATTCGAGACAGAAGAAGCAATGCCTGGAAAGTTCCAAAATGAAGCATTTTTAATGACAAATGAAGGAGGGCATTGTCCGTCCTGGAACTGGAGCCTGCAACACAGTAATTATCAAAGAAAGAAAAGAGGTATCCGCAGACACCAGGGACCCCCAGAGATGAGGAGTAGATGCAGGTCCCACACTTGGCCCTTCTCTGTGCTAACCATGGTTTAGTGCTGCCCATTATGGGCCACTTAGTAGACCATAACAAAATCTGGTTCTATCTGTGTCACTGTGTTGTAAAGTTTGTGCCAAAAATCATCAACAAATGGCAACCCTCTTCCTCTTTCTCTTCCCTGGGTTATCCACAATGCGAGTCTCCAAAAGGGGGCTGGACCTGAAGCCCTCTAAGGTCTAGGATTCCAGACACTAGAAGCCCCTTCCTCACCCACTCATTTCCCAGTCTTCTCTTGCACACTCCTGGTAGTGTTCCCAGCTAATCCTGGACCTCTGTCTGGATTCTCATACCTCTATCAACAGTGGGCTATATCTT